GAGTAGGAGTCTGGATTTGGGGCAGAGGTTACCTGTGTTGAGTGGGTGGGTGGGAGACTCAGGTGGTAATGATAAGCAGCCAACACTAACCCACTGATTACTTATTACTGCCAGGTGAAGTGTTACTGCTCTCATTTCACAGACAGAGCAGAGACGGTATCTTCACTTGCCCAAATCACCAAGTGAAGTGACACATTTGAACCCAGATATGATTCTAGAGCATGCTGGTTAGTGCTCTAAATCAGCTAGTAAATGGTTCAAGAAAGGTCCTACATGCAGTGAGGTCTGTGTGTCAACTCCTTAGCTCTGTAGTCTTAACAAGAAAACATCCATACACAGGATGGAATTCAATGCATGTGACTGAGTTCCAGTAAAACTTTGTTTATGGACACTGATATTTGAATTTTCTATAATTTTTGTGTATCGTGAAATAATCTTCTGGGTCATTTTCTACCATTTAATAATATAAATTACTTGAAATTGTGGGCCTTATAGAACTAGGTGGTGAGTTAGGTTTGGCTACCATGTTGACTCACCCTGCTGTATATCAATGGCTTTTTTTTTAATGTTACAGTTAATCACATATATCTTTATAGTGTATAGCATTTCTTTTTCCAGCATAATTACCACACATATCAGTCAAGACAAAGACATTACTATCCAAATCATCTCAAATAGCTTTTCTTTTTTTTTTCAGATTATAATTATTATTATTTCTTATTCTCTTTATTATTTTTTAAACATTCAATCACTATACATCATTTGGCTTGTAAAGAGAATTTGCCTAATATGAAATACTTCTCAGACCAGTCCAGTAGAGAATACTGTACATGTTATCATTAACAGGTAATAAACCATTTCTGTGTCCCACAAATGTCATGCCTCTCTATTTGTTCTCATGCTATTGTTCTCTATACTCTTCTCTCCCCTTCCCCCGATCCTCACTGTCTTCAGCGACCATAACTATTTTCACTGCTTTTATGCCTTCCAGTATTTCAATCTCTATCATATAGTGTATATAGTTGGTACATAGTAAGTGGATACATAGAATATCTTTCTTTCATAACCTGGCTTGCTTCACTCAGCAATAAATCTTCCATATTCAGCCACTTTCTATCAGATGCCAGAGTTTTAGTGTTTTTTTTTTTTATGGCTGAATAGTATTCCACAGAGTATATATGCCACACTTTTCAATCCATTCATCTGTTCGTGGACATTTGGGTTGCTTCCATGTCTTAGCACTTGTGAATAATACTGCAATAAACATTGATGTGCATGCGCTTTTCTGAAGGAGTGTTCTCCCGTCCCTTGGGTAGATACCCAGAAGTGGGATTGCTGGATCAAATGGTAGTTCTATTTATAGATTTCTGAGGAACTTCCATATTGTTTTCCACAACGATTGAACCAATTTACATTCCCACCAACTGTGTAAGATAGTTCCCCTTTTACCACAACCCTGCCAACACTTATCACTTTTTGTATTTTTAATCTTTGCCATTCTGACAGGGGTTAGGTAGTATCTCATAGTGTTTTTTTTTTTGTTTTTTTTTTTTGAGAGGTTTTCGCTATAGGG